AGCCGCACAAAGCCTTGCAGAAAGTGGGGAATCAGCCAGAACTTGCATTCCTGTGGACCGTCTCCAATGAAAAAATGGTCCCTAGTCAACAAAGAAAAAGGACTGCAAGCACTTAAATAAGAAAATGCAAAGAGTTAACTCTAAAAGCGTTGTACTAAGGTTCACTTTGATACACCAGTGCAAATATTATTTGCTTTTTGTTTGAATGAAATGTAGTGCAGAAAACAGAAAATAAAGAGAAAGGCTGTGAACATGTTGATACCTTTAGATACATTTACCTACTCTAAGTAAAACTGCTCTGGCAGGGGGGTTGGATTAGGTCATCTCCAGAGGTGCCTTCCAACCCCTAACATTCTGTGATTCTGTGAGAGGGACTAATCCTGTGAAAGGTGACTTGCTTGCTGTACCTAGGAATGAGAGCAGGGACTCCTCTGGGCAATTCAATTAGCCAGTCCACACCTCAGTGTCATCTTTTGTCAAATATGGAGAAGATAATTCCTTATTGTCCAGAATTACTGCAAACTTGCCTTCAGTTTGCCATGCAAATTACATTCTGTGATATGGAACAAGACAAAAAAAGGATTTCTAAAAAAGAACAAGTATCTGAATAACAGAAATCAGATTGAAGGATACTGGAGTACCCTCTTCTGCTGTTCATATGGCAACTGTCAAGCAGAAGGTTGTACCTTTGGGAGAAGGGGAGAGATGGGAGAAACACTGTGTTCCCTATGGTTCTCAGGACAATCTGACTTGGGACAGGGATGAGAAGATGGTGCAGGCCTCCTAAGAGATTACAGAGCAGAAAGGCAGGAGCAAAGGAGGAAAGCAGGAAGGTGTCAATCAGGATCATCAATCACCTGACCCTTAGAGATAAATATCCACTTCCCACTTCTTTCCATGGAGCTGCCTCATCAATACCACTTGGAGTTCTGCACTGAACTGAACCTATAATCATGAAAGGTAAATTCTGACCCTTGCTCAAACTATCCTGCCACTGCACACTTCGTATTTAAGATACCTACAGCACTACTGTATAAACTGTTGGAGGTTTACATGTGTCAATTCATGCTCTACTGTAAGAACCAGGAGGCTGAGAAGTTGACTGAATCCAGATGTTAGAACCACATATTCATACATAATTGCAAACAGCAACAAGATGGGCAGGGCGGGAAGAAGAATACTGAGTGAGGACAAGATAGAAGATAAGGAGGTGGGTGAGCTGTGCAACGCAAGAGGTAGTGAGAATGACTGGATGAAATGGAGGAAGGGAGGATTTTACAGTGCAGGCCATGGCTGGGCCCTGCTCTGTGAGGAATCAGCATGCACCAGCAGAGAAGCAGAGAAGCATGTTCCATTTGGCAAGTCTTCCAGCTGTTCCCTGTCTTCACTCACTCTGTGCTTACAACTAAGATACATTTGGCACTGGCTGGATATGAGTGTGCTACAGGAATGGCAGCTCTTTCACATAATTTGCCCAAGAGCTTCCTCTCCACTTCGCCAAGAAGGCAGACAAAACTTTGGCTGCTTGCTTTACAGAACTGGTCTGCCAGCCAGGCAAAAGGAAGCTGCAGAGAGCCTATCATGCTTGCAAAACCTCCAGCAGGAGGAGTTTCAGATGGTTCAAAGAGATCATTGAAACAAAAACCTCACACAGCCTAAAATTCAACTCATGCTACTTGAGCACTAACTGCAGGCCCTCAAGAAAAAAGAATCCTTTCCTCCAATCAATACTGCTCTGAACACAGCAGAGACCAGAGCCATATTTACAAATATGTGTGCAAAATGAGTGGTTTCATGGTCTTTAACTACTGCTTTAAAGACAGTAGGTAAAATTAGCTTTGAGGTCATAGCAGCCTCTGGGCTAAATTTTGACATCGGAACAATGAATAATATGCTGCTCTTGTTCTTTATGGTAGTAAGTTTCAAATCAGTTTACAAAGGAAAGAAAATCTTTGTGTTACAAGGAGAGTTAGGGTGTTGCAAAGAGGCTTAGGCATGAATAGTGACATGAAGTGAAACCAGGAGCTGAATCAGGTCTCTTGTACCTGAATCCCTTTCCCTGCTTACGGGACACCTCTGCTCCCATTTGCTCCTCTTCTACCCTAGTAAACACAGATATTTTAAAGCATACCAAGAACCACAGATATGAGGCAGTAACAAACCAAGACCACCTCATGACTAACTGCCCCTGACCTGTTCTGGCTTGCTCTCCATTGCTCTGCTGGTGGCTCTGGGGCTCACTGGAGTTTAACTGGACAGAGAAAGCAGAACGTGTTTCTAACGAATTAGTGAGCTGAATATGTTTGATGAAGTTCAGTAAGCACCAGAGCCAGCTCATGAGACTGAGTCACTTATTGTTGGGAATATTAACAGTTGGGATTGAAACAGCTGCACCTTTCAAGACATTAAATTCAAAGATGAGCTTCACAGCATTGTCAAGCCACACACAGAGTTTTGCAATCTTTGCTTTTGTACTTGAGATACCAGATTCAAACGTGAGCTACTGTAAAGAGCTGCACTACTCAGAAGTGGGACACTGCTGAAGACCACTTAATAAAGACTGACCTGCATTGTTTGGGTTAGTAGAAAGGGATTAGAAATCTAGTCCTCCAGGAAGGTAGGAATCCTAGGGTCATCAGGCCAGGTGGAAAAAATAGAAAAGAAAGATTTTAGTATAGTTTAAGTCATACCCAATGAGATGCTTTTCTGATCTTTCATATTCACTACAAGCTAATGATCCCAGTAACTCCTGTTGATGCTGGATAAGAATTATCTGTGGCAAGGAGCCTCTGTAGGTAGCAGCTGATTAATTTAATTACAGATATAAATATTTTCCTTCTCTAATTCAAATGCTTTCCAAGCGCACAAGTGCAGTTTGCCTGTTTAAAATCAGTCACTTGACCTAGAAAACTGCTATTCCCTCTCTAAAACTCTACTTACATTCCTTTTAAAGTTCTTTCATGTTTTAAGCTCCATGCAACACCCAGAGGTACAAAAGTTTTGACGAAATTATATTAAACAAGGACTGTTAAGACCTATTGTACTCGACACTGAGAAAGAAACATGAGAACAACTGACCTGAGATATTCTAGGACTTAGCAGAAAAAGTGTTTTCTACCTGGGCTTTTGAAAATCACATTTAAAAAATAACCAGCTCAGAACTTACCTCTGTGTGATGCTTGACTTAAAAAGATGCCTAGAAGAGGTCTTGTACAATAATGTTATGCACTGGAAGGTTTACACAGAATGCAAATGGATTTATTACCAGTATTCAGAGAAAATAACTGTTTCCTTTCTTTCCTTTTTCTCTCCAATCAGTACTTTCCATCCACTGCCAGTCCACTGTGTTGCTTTAGGAGTATCTTTCAACTAAGTTCCCAGTGGAGCATCTGATATTTTTCCAAGAAAAGCTTTTGAGATGCTGAACGAACAGTTCTTTCTTTACAATCCCTGTGCCCAAGTTTCTACATAAAAGCCCTCATTATGAATTTTGAGTCAGTGGGGTTTTCTCAGTCAGTTTGTGTTGCTGGTCAGGCTTTCCTGACCTAGAATTGGTATTTCCCATATAGTTTCCATGAAGCTCTAAAGCACATTAAAATGCTGTACAGGCTAATGACTACAGAAGAAAAAAAACACCAGAAGAAAATAACATTTAAAAATTTGATTCAGAATTGGCAACTGTGTAACCTCCCTTGTAGCTGCCATCTCATTAACATATTTGTTCAAAGCCTTTTCTCTGCTTCATTACATAATTTGTGACACAAAATCCAGATAAACACTCATTATTCGCAGGTCTAAATAATGGCTTATTTGACTTCCTTTTTCTTCTCTTATTTTTCCCAGAGAAAATGGAGGACAGAAGTGGCTTGTTTGCATGGAAAATGAGCCACACCAGTTTCTGAGTAACATCTGGGACTTCTGTTGTGTACAACATTAGAATACATTATGCAAATACTAGTGAATTATTCTTCTCAACACCTTTGCAAAATAGAATTGATATTATTGTCTCCATTTTGCAGACTAAGGTCAGTTCATATTTTCAGCCTCTCCTGTAGCTCATTGTTCCACACCAGACAGGGCCTATGACATTAGAGAAGGGCTGCTTGCATCAAACTGCTGTAAGGGATCATTTGTAGTAGCAGCTTCAATAAATGTTAGTTCTTCCATCAGGAATCCTGAAGATACTGTTATTTGCCCTGAAATGAAAATATGGAATTCGATTCCTTTCCCTCTCTATTTCTTCTAAAGTTCCCCATGTAAAAACCTGGAGTGTGTGACCCCCACTGAGGACCTGGGGCCTCTGGTGCTGTCAGTGCCAACCATGACAGGATGTCACTTGGGAGAAAAGGCAGAGCTGGGCAGCGCAGGCTGCAGGTTTCACCTCGTGAACTGTTTGGTCTCCTGAGGTGGTCCAAAGGCCACAGCAGGGCCTGGGAGTCCACCAGGGCAAGGCTGAGCAGCCACGCTGTGGCCGTCCTGGGGAAGCAGCAGCACAGATGCTGTCCGGCCGGCCCGCCAAGGCCTGCGCACGCCGCGTCAGGCAGCTGGGCCTGCTGGGCCACGCGCCTCTGCCGCGGGCTGGAGCCTGAGGACGTGGAGGCAGAGAAGGGTTTGGGGCGGAGAGCGCTTCTAAAGGCCATCTAGTCCGACCCTCGTGCCATGAGCAGGGTCATCTTCAAGTAGAGCAGGTTGCTTCCAGCCCCGTCCAACCCGACAGGACCGGTGCTGCGGGCAGAGGCCCAGCAGCTGCTCTGCTGCTGCACAAACCTGCTCTGCACATGCAGCTGCTCTGGGGAGAAGGGAACTGGGAAACTAACCTGCATGTGGAACTTGCACTAAAAGCTAGTACTTGCCTGGCAGTGCTGCTGTTTCTCCTTTAAAGAATTTTTGGCGCAGCAGCTGTTTGGGGTGGAGCTATTACAACAGAGGCTTTCAGTTTCGATTTTTTTTCCTCACTACCCGTAGGAAAAAGGATCTCCAGCAGAATAGAAAGAAAAATCATGACAGAAGAGAGCAGGTTCTGCAAAAATTGGTAAGAGATCGTTCTCCCTCTTCAGCCCTACAAAGTTTGGGGATTTGAAGAGTTTTCTAGGATTTTATCTGGGTCTCCTGTAGTGGGGGGAGAAGAGGAAGAACCACAGGACAGGAGGGGGGTTTGCTAGCCATCGAGTACTACACACAAATGTTTTGTATGTATTTTCACATTTCCAGCTTGCTGCTTTCTTGAGACTGTGCTGTGGAGGGGTTCCTCCCATAGCTCTCCTGTTCTCTTTTTACATACATGATGTCACTCTGGGTAATTTTGCAGTATCTGGCAGAGGAGTCAGTGCATGGACCATGCCAAACCCAGCAGCTGCTTTCATTTCCCCCCATGGCTGACGTTTCTTTCTGTTGCTATATTTGCAGTTAAGTGATAAAATATTTATTTTTTTCAAGGTAATTGGCCATCTCTCATAGAGTTGAAGGTTGAAGGGCCATGAGGATGGTGTAGATTTGTGTGTCTCAACTAGCAGCTAGGCCACTGAACACATTATATGAACAAAGACTGAACCACTGCAATTAAAAAAGAATTAAACTTAGAAAGGTTAAACAGGACCTTAGCCTCAATTTTGGTCACAAAGGAAAGCATATGAGTTAATTTACTCTGTCTCTTTCCTATTTATGTGCTTGGAAGTAAACGAGATGTGTCTGCTGCTAATTTCTCCCTCCATGAGGCCCACTGCTTGCGGTTTCTCACTCTTTGTCCAGAATGTGATGAACCAGTTGCCCAAAATGATATGACAGACCATCAAACAGAAGCACACAAACAGGTGAGGAATGCTACATGTTCTTCAGGGTTTTCTTGCAAATAAATAGTAAAAGCTCTCTCAGCCCTGAATTGGTATGTTCACGATATGGTGCTCAATATTGATGTCCTGGTTTTGGCCGGGGTAGAGTTAATTTCCTTCCTGGTAACTGGTATAATAGTGTGGCTTGGATTTAGAATGAGAATAATGTTGATAACACACTGATGTTTTAGTTCTTGCGAAGCAGTGCTTACACTAAGTCAAGGACTTCTCAGTGTCTCATACAGCCCTGCCCATGAGGAGGCTGGGGGTACACAAGAAGCTGGGAGGGGACACAGCCAGGACAGCTGGCCCAAACTGGCCAAAGGGATATTCTATACCATATGATGTCGTACTGAACATGCTGAACAATAACAACTGGTGGGAGCTGGCTGGGGATGGGCACAGCTGCTTGGACACTGGCTGGGCATTGGTCATCAAGTGGTGAGAAACTGCATTGTGCATCACTTGTTTTCTATTATTATATATTATTATAAGTTTCCCCTTCCTTTTTTGTCTTGTCTTTATCTCAACTCACAAGTTTTATCTTTTTTTTTCCCCGATTCTTTCCCCCATCCCACTGGTGGGAGTTGAGTGAGTGCATGTCTATGTGGTGTTTAGCTGCCTGCCATGTTAAACCACAACAATTAACTAAATTTTAATTTCTGTAATTGTTTGACCAGAAAAATCTGTAAGTGTCTGATATGACCCTTCAGGCTTGGTTACAGCAACTTTTCATCTTATTGCACACTCAACTTATGAGAGTAAAGCTTCCATTGTGGTATCTCAGTTTCCCCAGCAATACAAATTACATGTATGGATACATGCTTCTAGTGCTTGGGAATTAGCCAGAGCAGGCAAGTGCCTGATCTGACATAAACTTTGTTCATACAAAGTTATGGTATCAATGCAGTTTTTTTAACAAAACTGAACAGGCAGAGTAAATTTATCAGCTCTTCATATAGCAAGGCAGTAGCATTTCTGGTATAGCATTAAGAACCCTAAAGCTGGAGGTACTGCACTGAAGAATGAATACACAGACATGACTTTTTATTCTGTCTTACTAGTTTATTGTTTTAGCAATTCTGTTGATTTCAGTTACTTAACAGAACACAGAAGCACACAAACAGGTGAGGAATGCTACATGTTCTTCAGGGTTTTCTTGCAAATAAATAGTAAAAGCTCTCTCAGCCCTGAATTGGTATGTTCACGATATGGTGCTCAATATTGATGTCCTGGTTTTGGCCGGGGTAGAGTTAATTTCCTTCCTGGTAACTGGTATAATAGTGTGGCTTGGATTTAGAATGAGAATAATGTTGATAACACACTGATGTTTTAGTTCTTGCGAAGCAGTGCTTACACTAAGTCAAGGACTTCTCAGTGTCTCATACAGCCCTGCCCATGAGGAGGCTGGGGGTACACAAGAAGCTGGGAGGGGACACAGCCAGGACAGCTGGCCCAAACTGGCCAAAGGGATATTCTATACCATATGATGTCATACTGAACATGCTGAACAATAACAACTGGTGGGAGCTGGCTGGGGATGGGCACAGCTGCTTGGACACTGGCTGGGCATTGGTCATCAAGTGGTGAGAAACTGCATTGTGCATCACTTGTTTTCTATTATTATATATTATTATAAGTTTCCCCTTCCTTTTTTGTCTTGTCTTTATCTCAACTCACAAGTTTTATCTTTTTTTTTCCCCGATTCTTTCCCCCATCCCACTGGTGGGAGTTGAGTGAGTGCATGTCTATGTGGTGTTTAGCTGCCTGCCATGTTAAACCACAACAATTAACTAAATTTTAATTTCTGTAATTGTTTGACCAGAAAAATCTGTAAGTGTCTGATATGACCCTTCAGGCTTGGTTACAGCAACTTTTCATCTTATTGCACACTCAACTTATGAGAGTAAAGCTTCCATTGTGGTATCTCAGTTTCCCCAGCAATACAAATTACATGTATGGATACATGCTTCTAGTGCTTGGGAATTAGCCAGAGCAGGCAAGTGCCTGATCTGACATAAACTTTGTTCATACAAAGTTATGGTATCAATGCAGTTTTTTTAACAAAACTGAACAGGCAGAGTAAATTTATCAGCTCTTCATATAGCAAGGCAGTAGCATTTCTGGTATAGCATTAAGAACCCTAAAGCTGGAGGTACTGCACTGAAGAATGAATACACAGACATGACTTTTTATTCTGTCTTACTAGTTTATTGTTTTAGCAATTCTGTTGATTTCAGTTACTTAACAGAACACGAGTAGCTCTTGTGGCAAACATATAGAAAACTAGCATAACTTCTGTGTTTTCAGAGTGGTTATACAAAGTCAGAGTCAAGGAAACAGCCAAGGGGGAGATACCCAGAACTGGCAGAGGCTGGGAAGCAAGAGCCCCTGTCCCTGCTAGCTGTGGTCTGACCACTGCAAGGAACCAAAGCAGTGAAGGCATAGCAGGCTTCCCCTGGTGGTGGCAGAAATATTAGAATTTTCTAGGTGGTCTTGTGCTCTGTTGCTAACCTGTACTGACACAGAACATCTTCACTGCTATTGATTCCCATTTTACCTTATATTGCCAAAATCACAAAGCCTAGATAGGCAAACTCCTAATACAGCTAAGCCTGCATTTGGTTGTGTAGATATGTGTGTGCATTCTTAAACAGTGCTTATTGCTCTCATCCAATGCCTTCTTTTAATACTGATAGAAAATTTGCAATAATTTCATCTCTTCATGTGCAGACCGAGGAATGCCACAAACGAGCAGTGAAATGCAAGATCTGTGAGCTTGAAATGCCCTGCAACAAGCTGCAGGAACACCTGAACACCTGTGCCAGCCAAACAGAGTGGTGTGGGGAGTGTAACAAATATATCATGTACAAAGACCAGAATGAACACAAAGAAATTTGTCAGAACAGTGGTCTGTCCTTTCATAAGGATGTGAACTTTCAAACCAGTGAAACATCCACTAATGGTACATTTATCTGCCCCACTGGTAAGCAATATTCCTCATTTTCATGGACTAGGTCAACTCTGCTAAATCTCAATGAAAATTCCCCTGCCTTCTCTAAAATTCTTAGTATTCTAGGCTGGAGGGGATTGTTGTTTAACCCACCCACAGTGAAAGGGCTAAGTGTTGCTTCCCATTATGCTGGTTATTATAAAGCCAGAGTGATTCCACTGACCAGTAGCTCTTTAGCCATGTTCTTTTATGCCTCCTTTATATCCTAGAAGTGAAATGCCTTCTATCAGCATTAAAATGGAACTTCTTCCTCTTTCTATTTGTTGCACAGGAAAAAAATATTATTTCAAATTTCCTTCTACTTCATAGATAAAGCCAGTGATGCATATCTTGGTTTCTTGAAGTTGAGAGCAGCTTTATTAGGCCTAAGGTATTGGACAGAGCATGTCAAGACAAAAAATTATGGAATCCTGTCAGTGACTCCAGAAAGAAACAGGCATCAGTAGGGCAGTGGTTGGCAAAATAAACTACAGAGACCAAAACCCCCTAGCAACAGAATTAGCTAGGCCAGGGTAGGAGTGAAGCCTCTTGAGCCAGAAAACACAGGGCTGGAGTGGAATTTCAAATATCGTGAACTTTTCAAGAAGGGATGGTGGACTGGTTTTGAGTGCTGTCAAAAGCAAAATGTAGTCACAGCTTTAATTCCTTCTTGGACAGTAGAGTCAGCATTCTGTGGTTCTCTAGAATTGGTTTTACCATATGTGGATCTGAGCAGCTTGTCTAGATGACTAGTGTCAGTACTGTGTTTCTCTCCATGTTTTTTTCCTTCTGAAGGTACCGGTGGCAATTTTTGTCAGAAGTGCAATAAGTCATTCCCTGATGACCAGTACTCCCAACATCTGGTAAGCACATTTGAAACTGAACAGGAGAATGGTCTGTGCTCAATTTCCAGCCAGGTTATTTCTCTGAAAAGCTATGTAGTGGGTAAAAAAGGGAAGCATGTCTTGGCTTTTCAAACTAGTTTTATGATCCAGTGTGTTCAGCTGATGCATCACTGTGAGATGGCGTCCACTGTCAACCCCATGAGTGTTATCTGTTGCAAGTCACAACATACCATACAGTTGGGTGTAATACTGAGCTTCACCTTATTATGCACGCTCCCTTTTAACAGGATACATGCAGTGCAGCCCATAAGCTGACAAAAGTTCTTGCTGGCCAGCCAACTTCAAAACCCAGCAGTGATCCACCAGAGTCTTCTTCATCCCTGGCACCCTCTTCCTCCTCTGAGAATGTAATGGTGTGGAGAGATGTCCGTCCCAAGGGGAAAGAAAGGGATCAGTCACTGACCTCCAAAACCTTGCTTAAACCCCCAAAGAACAAGAAGATTGGCTTTCCCTCTCCCACGAGAGGTGGACTTTCCACATCACCTCAACCTCTTAAAGATCCCCAGTCTTTTGACATGCTGGTGACCTGTACCCATTGCAACATTCTTCTGCCACTTCCAACCCTTCAGAAACATGAGGTGAGAAGTGACACATTGGACATGCAAAGAGCCATACCTCCAGAGGCACTACTTAGATACTCACTGCTTGGGGTACCAGTGCCCATTTCTGGATTTCATAGCTTCTTGAAATGCTGGACAAATCAAATCCTGCAAAGTCTTCAGCAACTGTCCTTATTTACTGAAGGCTGATACTGTTCCTATTAAGCAAATAGTATGTTATATCTCAGCTGTGACAGAGATTTTCTGTCCCAACAAAGGGGCCCAGTTGCCTTCCTATTGAATAAGATTTTGTGTTGAAAACAATGTTAAAATCTCCTCTAATAGACTGTTACTTCTTTTTCTAGATCAAATGCCTACGTTTGGCATCTTTTAATGGGATGAAAAAAAAATCAAGCCATGGAGAAAAAGGTACTGCAGAAATTTGGAATAGAATTAATTGTTCAGGATTATTCATGTTAATAGGAACAATGGGATGTTTTGCAGAGGAAGTGTGTCTAGAAAAGTGAATACTCAGCATATTACAAAGCTCTTTAGATTCCACAATGCAGTGGGTTCCTGTAAGGTTGCATTAAGCAAGCATTGCTTCAGAGCCAGTGTGTTTTCTGTTTTCACTCTTTTAACTTAGAGTAACGTGTTGTGCCTCTCAAATTATACTACTATGAGCAGTGTAGTACCTTCCTTCCTGTTAGCAGAGATCAGCACAAAAGACTTTACAGAACAAATGTTCTGTCCCAGGTCTGTCGGCTCCAACACTGAATGGGGACTTAAAAAGTAGTTTCAGAAAACAAGAGGTAAAATTATTTTTTCTCCATAACAAAAATTGCATATTCAGTAGAAGCATTGATATAATTATACCAGACAACCTCCAGTTGAGCTTGCAGTGATCCCTAGGCAGTAAGTCAATCTCCTTCCTCACCCTGTCCCAGACAGGCTGTGAATCTTAACACTTCTCTCTTTGCTAACATCCCCCTCTGCTTTTCAGTTCCAAAGCAGTATCATTTCCTCTCATTCCAATTAATTAAGCAAAACTGAAAGCAATTATTTGCAATCTGTCCTTTTTCTACTTGGTTCAGTAAATGAGGTATTACTTCTCCTTGTAAAACTTTCATCTCCTGGTAAATTAAAGAGAGAAAGCATCAAAGTGAGAAATAGGGAGTTTGTCTCATTTGGAATTACAGGACTCTAGTCTTGAAATAAGTACATGGTAATTACACGGATTATTTGACTTGCATTGTGGTTTTTTTATATTGTTCAACTGAGTGATGACACAGGAAGGCTGTAAAACTGAAACTTTAAAAAAATACATAACTGGGCTTTGTTTGTTTTACAGAAGACTCTTTCTACAGCATTTATGATTAAATCTGGAAATAGAGACATATCTTCAGGCAAGCTTCAGTTCAGCTTTAGCAAAAGGCACTGAAAAGTGCAATAACTTTATTGACAAATAAAAGTGACTTGCTACTCTGGATCAAGAACATGTGACTCAGATTTTTATTTCTTATCAAGAGAGGCATTTAGAAGGTTTTACCAGAAAACTGTAAAATTGATTTGGGCTCAACAGCTGTTGTAATTTCAAATACTTCTGTGTAGGGTCTCCATAGGAATGTAGTTTTTCCACCCACTTCAGAAAGGAGAGCAGCTTACTTAAAAATGTTCGGGGGGAGAGAAGGAAATAAGGAATTGAGAATTCCTTGTCATGTTGAATTCCCTTTGTCTTCACTGAGAGCTGAGACCTTAGTGTTTCTGAGGGCATGGCCCAGTGAAATAAAAAAAACATTAAGTCCTGCTCTCCTTCACTTCAGCGAACCGCTGAACCTAGGACTAGCACAACCAGCTTAGTCTTGGGAGATTGCAGACACATCCAGGGATAACTGAGGGTGTTCATCTTCTGATGTACAAATGGAGACTGATAAAGCTCAATGGTGGAAAAGTTGAACTTGGAATGAGTGGATGCTTTTTGCTATTGTCTGTGAACATTTGTGAGACAGCCTTTGCTGCTTGGCATCTCATACCAATAAACACTAAAACATGGTAACAGAACAGTTTTACTACAAGGTGCCATTTTCCTCTCAATCCACCTTTAGCAGTGTCCAATCTTATAAGCTGATGGCTGGAACTAATGTATACATGCTGACTTATTTAGTAACATCTTCTCAGAACCAAACTTGTTGATATCTGCACCATTTGTGCACAGGCACACATGGGTTGCAAAGTCAGGCTGAGTTCATGAAGTCTCTCAGTGATTCAGCAAGGGCCCAGGCTCATTATGCATATCATAGGCTTATTGATATGAGCAGAACTGAACTGAAATACACCAGTGGACATTCCAAGAGTAGATACTGCCAGCCTGGTAGCCACTGAGCTAGTGCCAACATCATGAGTGCAACAGCAGCTGGTCATGTGGCCTGACAAGTTTCAGTGGCTTCTGAGGCTCCCTGAACCTTTGAACTCCTGAGGAGCAGGTCTAACACTAAACATAGTGCTATGAAACGGAGTTTTCTGTATTTGGGGCAGAGGAAAGGAATGTGGAAGCATATCCTTTAAAACACTATCACTCTATGCTTAAATTTATCCACTTTTATTCTGCACTCATCAGACTTCCACATAGTTTAGTATTCTTATTATTTGTATACACATCCCATCAAAGGAGTTGATGGTTCTCCACAAGTATTGTGGATTTTACAGGTTCCAACAAAGCTGGATTTACCATGCCTCCCAGCAATTATTTGTTATTCTTCCAAGTCTGTTTGAAGAGGGCTGGTAAATATAACAAGGTCTGAAGAGAGAAACCAAAATGGCTGTGTCTGAAGAGTGTCCCAGAAGTTACATTAGAGTACAAGGCCCTACAACTCTTTTTTTTTGGGGGGAGGGGTGGGGGCAGAGAAGGCCTAGCTTAATAAAAAGTGGTATTTCCTCTCTAAAAAGCACAGTGGGGCTTATTTTCTGTGCTGCAGTGTCATCGTGTGGCTGTTGATGTCACTGGCACAAGCTACACCACTTCATGGCAGTAGATTTGGCCTTGAAGAGAGGAGGAGAATCTGCTGCCTCGTCAGTGTGTCTGTCCTGCTCCCAGGCTGCACAGGCTCTGGCACTGCTACCATTCAGTAATTAATAACTTCAGGCTCCCACCTAGATTGAAGACAACAGCATCTGGACAAGAGACCAGCAAGTGAAGTGTTCAAGGGCTGGCGCACTCCTAAATCTTCCTGTGGTGTGGTTCAGTGTCCTGTGCACAGGGAGCTGCTAGGAGCTTGTCTCATCAAGAGGAGCACCACTTATGAGCCCCCAGAAAATATGAGACAAATGAAAATACCTGTCTGAAGGATCTTGAAAACACCTGTAAACAATCTTTCCTTCTCCTGAGGTGAGGAAATGGCTGTTAACAGCTACGTCAAATGTCACCCTGGTCCTGGAGGTGCTGTCCTTATCCTATCCAGCAAGGTATCTGTGTTTTCAACCTCTGTGAGCTCCTTGGAGACAAACAACGCTATTAATTTTTGTAGAATGACCTTGTTCTAAATTACTGAGCTCTAGACAGAGGGAAAAGGACTTACTCATCTGTAGAGCACTGTACGACAGCAGCAGTGGTCTATATGTACTGCAGACCTGAGTCTGAGGGTCCATAAGGGATTTGTGTATGGTAGCACAAGGTTAGGGGTGAGAAGCGAGGTTCCTTTCTTTTTTTGCTCTCGTCGGTTTAAAAATTTCCCATATTAATCCAGATTAGTGTGAAAGTGAAAATAATTTTGGTCACTAGATGGCAACAAAGATTCAATGTGCTCTTCCCTGTCCAACAGGGAAAGCTTGTAAAAGCTTGGCCTAGTTTTGTCCTGAGGAAGAAAACCAGAGAAACCGTGAAAATAAGTGTGCAATCGTTTTCCTGGTAATAAGGATTTGTTTTGCTATTGTCAGTTGCTTAAAAAAAAAAAAAGGTTCTGTTTACCAAGAAGAAATTATCAGATTAAAAATATCATTTAGAGGAAGAAAAGGAAGCTCAGCCTCACCAGGACAGATGCTCAGAGACTATGGCATCATACTCATGAAACATTGCTGATGTTTCAAATATATAGAATTGTAGCATTTCCTCTGAAGCTTAAGGCATATTTTTATTCTCCAGCAGTGGCTGGAGGCATTCCATTTCTGCATGACCCTCTTT